ATGGGAGGACCACGAGGTGCCCTACACAAGAGAGAAGGTGCCGTCTGTACATCCAGCCCCCTCAACGCTCCCCATGAATCCAGACACCTGCTACCCGACTGCAACCGCGGAGGCCCCCAAGCAAGAACCACCCGGCAGAGCCCAGCCAGCCCCCAGAACGGGGTGGATGGTCATACATGGCTATGTTTAAGGCACTCAGCTCTGGGGTGGTTCGTTTCCCAGTAACAGATGCCCAGATCATCAGCTCGGCTTACCTCCAACAACCAGAACCCAAACGTGGTACGCTTTGTAGAACAGCGCCAGGCTCAGCACGCGGGTCCCCAGCATGCCCATCCTCCAGAGCTGCTGGCACAAGAGCGCAGCCCACGGCGTGGCCAGGGGGCCCGGCTTCATGAAGTCCATGAAACGAGCGTAGGACACCAGGGCCCAGGACAGAGAGGACCAGGAGAACAGGGCGCTTACCCCTGCAAGGGAAGCGGAAAGACACGGTATGCGCTGAAGGTTCCAAAGCAACGGCACCACGTGAAGAGTCATTCATGGCACTTATTTAGTGAGACACGTAACCTCTTATTAAAACCTGGCTCCATGGAGGGTGCCACTAACCAAGCACCCTGACTGGTGGTAACATGAGGGCTCTGTGTATGAACGCACATGTCTGCACGTGGGAAGGAGGAGCATACGCGGGGAATTTCACTGCATGATGCACACAGATGACGCTCTTGCCCAGCAAACGGCCTGGGCTCTTCCTTTCTGTGCCCTTTAAGAAAAGTGTCCCAGTGCCTGGTCCTCTAAGCCCTCTGCTCCAAGCTCTGTTTATAACCAAGCACATCCTACGGGACTCTGAACACAGTCCCATCCGAAATATATTAAATACTTTGCTGTTCGATCCTTATGAAGAAGGTTTAATAAAAGAACTAAAACCACAACAGCAGATGGTTGATAAAGGTGGGTGGGAGGATAGTGTAGTCCCATATTTTAAGCATTTAACTGATGTGTATAGAACTGGGGACAGCCAGCAAAGAGGGCAGAGGCAGGAAAGGAGGGAAGGGAGCGGAAGGGACAGGAGGGGAGCAAGAAGCAACGCAGAGAAAGAGAGAGAACGAGAATGTGGATGCCCGGGAGAGCGGGAGCCAGAAACACACATTTGCCAGGCCCGAGTTGCTCTGTTTCCACGCAGCTGTCGGGGTGGAAGCCTCTGGCCGTGCTAAGAGCCGTCCTAGGGACTGAAGATACAGGAAGAACAGATGCATTGATTTTACGGAGAAGCTGTCTTCCCAAGGGATTTTCAGGGTAATTTTGATCATGCACGGACTGACTTCAGAACCTCAGACAGTCTGTGCTCTGTGGCGACTCACCGGGCACGATGTCCGTGAAGTCTGAGGCCAGAAAGACGTACGTCTGCAGCAGCAGGTGGGGCCCGGTCTGCAGCAGGGCCTCCAGGAGGCGGAGGGCCGACAGGTCGGCCTCCTGCAGCCACAGCTGGCCCAGGTGCGGAGCCTCCTGTTCCTTCGACATTGCGGTCCGAGCAGCGTCCCAGTGGCTAACGAGCAAAGGGCACCGTGACACGGAGCGAGACTGCGACACCCTTCTGTTAGGGACATGCAGCATTCTAAAGACCCCATGCCCTTACTAGAGTCACCCGGAGTCACCAGTTAGGCATTGCATGTGGTTGAGAAATCACTCTATGGGATCCATTCTGATGCCAGTCAGGATTGTGCAAAACAGTTGTTTTGGCTCCCTCTACAGGCGCTATTGCCAAACTGCAATGTGCAAAACTGGATTTGCTTAAGAACATGACCCTACCCAGTGGGGTTTTTTTGGTGGGTGTCTGTGTGAGAACCCAACGTGCTAATTTCAGAATGAGGAAGAGATCCACTGCTTTCTATTTTAAATTTCAAAGCTTTCCTCTAAGTAAGTAGATTTTTGACTTTTTGGCTTATTTTTAATCTTAGAAACACTGCAAACCATGTGGCTTCTTATGCCTGCACGAGCTGTTATAAAGCTTAAAGCCAAATTTGTGGCCCACCCCTAATAATTGTACATTCTGGCTTTATCCCGTTTTCTAACATTACATCCCTTTCTCTGGCTTTTCTCACTTCTCCTCATTTTTTTTTTGTCTTTTAAAATTATGTGTATTTTTTTTTAGTCACCTTTTTACTGGAAATAAGAATAGATACATGACTAGTTTTTCCTAATTTCTAATTTCCATGTCTCTCTTCACTTATCCCTATTAGTTCTTTAATATATATCAGATTATTCCAATTAGTTTTTAAACATACGCCGAGAAATCACGGCATCACTGAAGAAGTTTCTCGAGTGCATGGGGAAGACAACATGTGCCCTCCGCTGTCAGACCCCTGGGGAAGGCGGGGGATTAGATGGGGCTGGGGCGTCCCCAAGAGTCTCAGAAGGCAGATTTAACTGATGATCATTCAGGAAGCTCCTCCAACTTACTGGCTTACCTCTCTTCGTGAGCTCCCGAACGTTTCCTTACAGTAGCCGACTCACTTTTTCAATTGGCTGCGTGTCCTCGGGGTCTCCTACTTTCTGACTATGACAGTCAAAGCCAAGTACAGACCCATAGCCCTTACGGACTGACTCCAGGGCTGGGCGACCAGGGTACGGCATGGAAACGGCAGCTGGCACTCAGCACTAAGGGGGGGGCCTCTAATCCTACAAGCCCCATGAAAAGACCCTTCTCTGCTTTCTCCCCGGTAGGCAGGTCCAGCCTTTTCAGAGGAACGGCACTGCTTGACACAAAGTCCCAGCTTTCGGCAAAGTTGCTGTGGCTGCAAATGTGACTTTGGTGCCTTTAGAGATTTAGGGTCCAACCCTGGGGGCCCAGTGAACCTGGAAGTGGTTGCTTGAGGTCTTTTTCGGAAGAGATTCTACTCGAGATTCTGAGATTCTCCGGGGGATGGGACGGCATCATTCCCTGCTAACGCTCATTCTCCTCATGGGGCTCGTGCCTCAGGCTCATTTCAGCGCCTCCAGAGAAAGCCTCAGGAATAGCGTGAAGGCATAAACCCCAGGACACGGGACAGCACCTGGCAACGACTCCTCGAACAGCCTTCCAACCCTCGGGGTCTACTATTCAATAACCACTGGAGCTGCAGGGCTTCGCTGATCTGATCCCCAAATTTTTCTCCATTTAAAAAAATTCCTATCGACCCTATGGGGTTACGCGGTAGCCGAGAGCTGAAATGTGCCCTTCATATAAACTCACTGCCGCATCTCTTCTGAGCTTCCTGTGTCCAGATACTCCAAGTGGAACGAGCCCTCACCTGCAGAGGCGGCCTGCGGACCACAGGTCAGCCCAGGCCCCAGACCATCCCTGAATGCTTCTTTAAAGACAAAAAACTGTTCCTGGCTTCCAAATGACTTCTTCTTGCAACAAAAGCCTGAAACAAATGTCACCTGGCTGGCTTCCCTGTCTAGTCTGTGGTTAATTAAATCTGGCCATGTTCCTGGACTAATGGAGCAGGTGTGTAACTGGAACTGCCTTGAACAAGTGGCTCTGTAGGGCTCTAAAGGCTGCACCAATGAATAGAAACAGCAAAACAGAATTTGGAGACAAGAAAAAGCTTCTGTAAGGTCACAGCTGCATCCAGAAAGAGCCCCCTGGTTAAGAGATTCTCTAGGAAGCGCAGCTGGATGAGGGGATGCCAGATCAGAGAGGGGCTTTGAGAACCTTCTCCCAGTCCCGAACTTTCAGGACCTTGAGGATGCAAGGCCCAGGGGCAGAACCTCCTGCTGCACACGCTCGTGCTCCCCAGGGGAAAGGAGGCCGCCGTCCTTACCGCTTCCAGACGCCAAGGTGTAGGAGGTGCAGCATCAGCAGTGAGCAGCGCCCGCGATGCCCGTCCGCGCGGAACCACAGGTAGCTCAGGCCCTGCACCAGGAAGCCGGGCAGGAAGATAGAAAGTGCCAGCCACCCCCACAGGCGCCGTCCGGAGGAGAAGTAGTAGACCACTGTGTAAAGGCCTGGGGAGAGAGTGGTGAGCGGGTCGTTGGAAGGATGGCGTGAGACTGGGAACTGCTCTGTAAATATTTTTAAATTTTCGGTATGTCTGATGTTTTTGACATCTTAAAAACCTTCCTGGCTGGGGAGACACTGCGCCTCCCAGGGCTAGCCAATTCTTTAAGGTAGCAAAGGGCCCAGACAGGAGAGGCCTTTGGTGTGCAAACTAACCCATCCCCAGCACACCTCCTGCATCTGGCCGTACCCCCAGGAGGCTCTGCCTTGCACATCCCACCGCCAGGTGTCGGGCAGCTAGGGACCACCCTTGTGGCCCAAAGTCCGCTGGAATTATTCAGACTCGCCAGTTCTCAGCTATTCACCCTGTCCTGCCTCTCCGAGGAAACCCCAGCAATGGCTCTCGCCTCAACCTTCCTGTCTCCGCCTCCTGACTGCCCTGGTGTCTTTCCTGCGTGGCCCTGCGTGGCGTGCCCTGCCTCCTGTCCCGGGACCTGTGGGGCTGATAAACTCTGCTTTCCTGAGCCTCTCCTGTGTCTCCTTTTGTGACCACATCTGACTGACCAAATCATTAAAACAAAATGAAAACAAAAGTCACCAACCAACACAGGGTCCCCACTGCCAGCAAGATTCTTGGCTCTACGCGGCCCAGGGCCGGCAGAGCCGCAGGCAGTGGAGACAGGCGCGAGTTGAAACATGGTGCCCGGGCTTTCCAGGGCGCTCAGAGCAGACACCACGGTCTGTGAAAAGGAGCTGCTGGATTACACATGACAACACGGGCGAAGTACCCGGCACCCAGTACGAGCTCAAGAAATGAGAAACCTCCTGCGCCGCCCCGAGGCGCACCTGCGAACCCTGCAGCTCGGGGCAAAGGGGGCCGGGCTGGAGAACGCTGCGGCCCCGGCCGTCCTGGGCTGGGAAGGAGGGGAGGACGCGTCCCCGGGACCCTCTGGGGTGGGTGTCGACACCCGGGGGTCCTGGCTAGTCTCGGCCCCTCCCGGCCGGGGCGCCGGGGCCGGCAGCGCTTTGGGAA